CTAAGAGTTTATTTTAATCTCTCTTGTTTTTAGATATTAAAATGCTTTAGAGATGAAAGTATTCTTGAATGGTGGTGAACAGGTGACGTACAGTTTCAGTTATCCGCTTGGAGTAGATTAGTTTTAAACCCTGTTAACTTACACTTGGTTAGGTACGAGACTCGGGAGCAGCGGGAGCGGTCGTGGGGGCTGCTTCGACCTAACAACACATATTACGACGGTCTGGTGGGTAACCTGCAACGGGAGGAGGCTGACTTCTCCACCGTCATCTCTCCTGCTGTGGGTCGAACTATGGTCACTGATTACTGCGCCGTGTATCCCCCAGACAAGCTCACAATTACCTCCCTCAAACCCACGCTCCTTCCCCAGTACCTGGCTCTAGTACGTCCTCTCACAGGTAAGAGATGTCCATTGCATAAGGTATGGTTATCTTCATAAACTAGATTTATTTCGGCCGCTACGCGATCCGAGAGAAGTATCATCAATATTACATAACCCTTGTACGTCACTGCATGCAAGAGGCCTAATAGCTGCACCTCGAAACACTGAACTGGCAAGTGCTGAGGTTAAACTCCTTCAACATACCTAGGAGTTATAACAGCCCTCCCAAGAGGTGCAGGAACTGTAAATCTGCAATTTGAAGAGGAGCACGGGTGTGACCATACATGAACACTAAGTCTAATTCCTCTAGCTTAATACATCAAAGACCCAGGAACTGTAGATCAATACCTGCAAGAGGTTTTGGAGCTGTAAATTATCACACTTAAAAAGCCTAAGAGCTCGATCTCAACCAGTCGAACACTACAAATATGAAAGGAATCAATGCGAATCCTGGCGGGCGATTTCCGTATTGTTTAACATTAATCACAGACTGGTTGTCAGTTATGTTCTCCCTTTTATATTATGGAACACAGCTGACCGATTTTAATGAAACTCATAGAAGCCGACATGAAGACATTCTCAAGTAACTGCAAGGAAATCAATATCCCAATTTGTTTAATAAGATTAGCAAATTGGAATCTATAGTCAAAACCGGGCCCAATAGTCCTGAAAGTACGCTACATAAGTGTTGAGAGTTCGAAACAAATCAGAGGTATTTTCCATTGGAATATTGGAAACCAGTATCCTAATTTGTTAAATAAAACTGATAAACTGGGACTTACACAGCCCAATAACAACGTGAAACCTTTCCGTATGCAAATTAAAGTAGCACTGAAAATATGAAGCTCCGTAAAATATGGAGGCATTTTCCAGTTACTGAACAGAAACCAACAACTTTCCACTTTTTTAATGTTCATAAATTAACAAATTAAGGTCTACAAAGCCTAAAAAATATATATTTCCTTTATATTAGGTTCATTAGTATTTAGAATATGAAGTAATTCAAAATAGGCATTCTGAAGTCAATGCACAAAAAAAAAAATTATATATATATATATATATTTTTTAATTTTTATTTGCAAATTTAAATGACAGTCGTACAACAATCCTAACCTTCCAAGTAAGACAAACCAGCTCTGAAAACTTGAAATTTATCATAATAGGAAATCCCAAGTTATCAAGCGAAAACGAAAATCCCATTTTGGTCTATAAATATGGCAAGTGAGGCAACTAAACAGCCTGTTAACAAGTGGAACCTTTCTTCACACATGGAACACCATCGTTGAAAATTTGAAGCCCATTGAGTAGAGGAAGTGTTAAGTTACAGACGTTGGAGATTATTATTATTATTATAATCATGGGGAGCGCTAAACCCATAGGAATTATACAGCGCCTGTGGGGAGGGGGGGATAGGAGGTAATCAGACTCAATTCACGAAAGTGGAGCACAGATCCAATTCCCTAGATCGAGAGCCCCTCACCAGTGTCAAGGAACTTCCCTTGAGGAGTAGACGTTGGAGAAAGGAGGAAAAAATGAGTCATGTATTACACCTGGATTTCTCTCCATATCAACTTGTGTGAACGTCACATACGTTATTACCGGTGAACAGCGGCATGATCTCTCCTTTCATTCTTTTATCGCCTTTAAACCAACATTTGGTAGGCTATGTTGCCATGTTTTTGAACTTTCTTATCAATTCCATTGATATTATTTATTATAACTCTCCTCTGTTCAGCAAAACAAAAATGTTAACATTTGGAACCGTTTTGTGAAGCCTTTGAGCGGCTGATTATTCTCATTATATTTATGAGGAGGAGGGAGCGCTAAAGCAGTAGGGAATATAAAGCGTCTGGGGGAATGGAATGCATTCAGACTCGATTTAAGATATTGGAACCCAAATGCAATTCCTTAAATCAAGAGCTTCTCACCAACATTGAAGTGCATCCCTTGAGTGAGAGGTTGACCAGGGGAACGAAGCCTTCACATCCACACTGCACTCTTAATCTTGTTTCAATAAACTGTTTTGTTCTGACAAGGATTACTTTCAACTCTCTCTTTTTATCATGAAGTAATTTAAATGCGATTGATTTTCACAGAAAACGGAATCAGTCTTCAGGCATAATGGAGATTCATCTCAACGAAAATAAAAGCATTTTTCAGACTCTTTACACTTAACAACTTACTGCAAGAAACTACACGTTTCAGGATTTGCGTAATCACTTCGACACTTTCAATGAGCAAACACTCCTGGTGTTACAATTATAGTCACACCTGTTTTACTCGGTCAGACTACTTTCTCGCTGCTTTAAGCGTAGGATACATTGTACTATCAGTTTGTCAGAAATGTTTTGTTGTCCGGTTATATGTAAGACAGTCCTCGTGGCCTTGCTATCCGCCAGCAGTGGTGTAAATATGATAATATCCATTAATTTCTGACAAAAAAAAAATTAATTTAGATACATTTAGTCTGTGTGTAACTTATAACATTCTACAGCAGCTTTCCAAAAGTGCATTTTCTAGTGAAACAACGTATTTTCAACACCGTCAATTATTGTACAGTGATACCTCTCATATCCGAACAATACGGTTCGGAAACACGGAGTTTCCGGATACGTGAGGGGGGGGGGGGTAATGTGCATCCGTCATATCGCCATCGGCGACGGCGTTGTAGGTTTGAAAAATGAGTCAAACGTCGTCTGGCGGTGGGACCAGACACTCTAGGCTCGAATAACAGCCTCCCGGATTTCTGCAGCCATTTTAAGTTGGGGACCACGAACCATCATACCACTACCACGTTGTTGTAGGTACCACTTCATCACGCACTGATCCAGTTCCAAGCTCTGTGGCTTCCCCATCACTTTTCTTTCGGCACTTTTTCCAGTTATTGAGGCAGCAGAAAACATCCGAACGGCTGTTCGGATATTTCGGTAACTATTTAAAAATTTTGCAGTTTCCCAGGGTCTGTTCGGATATTGGCGAGGTTCGGATAATGGCAGGCCGGATATGCGAGGTATCACTGTATATTTTAAATTTATTGTAACATTGGATTTAATCGATTCACTTCCATATCAAAATAAACAATATTGCAATTTTTTGAAATTGCGACAGAATTTCTCATATTTCTTTTATACAAATTATTTTAAGCAGCTCTCTGGTTCCACGGTAGATTAGGTAGAGAGTGTTAGGTTAGGTGAAGAGGGGAAGATTAAGTGACGTCTGTGAGGTTAAGTGAAGACTGGAAAGTAAGGTGAGAATTCATTTGGTTCAAACCTACCAACGCCGTTTATCTGGTGACAGTGTAACTCGTACCTCGGTAACGAGAGTTTGGCTCACTACCGAAAGGTTCAGTGTTTGTTTCGTTGGTAGGGCGAAACGTATGGCCGTCTTTGTTTTTTTTTATCTATGCTATCCCTGTTTATATAGCATTAAATAGATAACCAGTGTTAGTGGGCCGTCATAGGTCGCATCCTGGGGAAGGACCTCAGTGACTGCCAACCAGTTTTTTATGTTAGTAAAAGCCTCGATGAAAATCTACCATTCTTCTATATTAGTCAAAACTTTAATGAATATAAACCATTCTACTGTTTTAGTGAAAACCTCATTGAATGCAAACTGTTTTCCTGTATAAGTGCAAAAGTAAATTCCACATGAACGGAACTGGATGGGATGTGTATATATAAGTGTTATTCAAGGGTCCTCTGTATCAGCTGAAGAGGGTCTAGTTGACATCGAATTATACAATGTTTCCCTCTGTATGTTATATAATAATTTATTTCCCCTGAAAGTACCTGCAAGAAGTGTTTAAATTTTCGAAAAGGTCATAGGATGGAGAGCATTTCGGATATACCTTATCATTAATCACTGTTTATATGATACATGCAAACGTGTGCATTTGTAAACCCACTATAAGTTGTATTAAACGACTCAGAATATGGGGCGGGTACTCGAGCAGTGGTCCTTGCACATACCAAATCCAACGCTGTTTATAAGGACCACGGTTCGAGGCCCCACCCAGTATTCTGAAGTTTATTGATGTGTATAAGTGTTGACTTTCACACAGTTGAGTTACTTAGCCGTTTTAATTTTTAAGGTGATAATCATGACTGATTACTACTTCATCTTACTACGCTTCAAATAATAAGATATTACGAAGACCCCCAAAAGAAATAAGTCACTTTGACTTTTTTGGGGATTATTATTCGTAATTTACTAAAATGTTAGTAGGTATGATAATTGGATTTATGTGTACCTATACCTAAATAGACTTACTTATGCAGGAGAGGTGTGGGCAGCCCTGCTGGTGATGGTGGTGGCGTGGTGCATGGTGTTGTGGCTGTTCCGTACCATGTCTCGCTGGGAGGACACGACCAGGAATACTGGTGGACTCAGCACAGCCTTCCTCTACGGCTGGGGCTCACTCATGGGCACCACCTCCCACGTACCCACCAAAAACCTCTCCGGAAGGGTATGCTCTGTCACCCATACGGGTTGAGTCCTTTTGGAATATGTAAAAGTAATTGGCCGGGTACGCATTCCACCTCCCAGAAACTACTACTGATCATGGGCAATACTACTAATATTATGGTACTGACATCATGCTGCTAATACTATAGTAGTAATTTCGTACTACTAATATAATACTATATATAGTATAATACTATATATACATACTCTCTCCAGGTAAATATCATGCTACTCACCTGTGATGTAACGTTGAATGTTGTCAAGTGACCTAGTGTTGTCCTGTGGCAGGTGCTGGTGGGATGGTGGCTGGTATTTTGCTTCGTGATCAGCTCAGCGTTCAGGTCCTCACTGGTCGCCCATCTGACGGTGCAGGGAAAGACCAAGACCATAGAGAACTTCAAGGATTTGATAGAGAAGAAGCACTGGGAGTGGGGCATCGAGGCGTGGATGATGAGTGGCCAACCTTGTATATACTTCTCCCAGCACCCCGATCCCATCGTCAGGACCATTTATGCTAAAATGGAGGTTATACGTACTTAGTATAAGTGGTACTGATATGCAATAAGAGATTACTTCTCTATAAAAATTTCACTGCAAACTTTACTGTTATATACAGATCACCTAGAAAGGTCCCATCTATCTCAATTATCTCATCTCTGCCAGTTATATGTTAAATAACATATAGTATATATAGTATAATACACTATATATCATGCTACTCACCTGTGATGTAACGTTGAATGTGTAGTTAAATGTTCATTTATAACGTTCTAGGATAGACTAAATTCTCGTTCAGATCGTATTTCCAAATTGAAAGTTTCTTGTGAAGAGGAAAATTAAGATTTGTCGCTTTATATTTGTAAATTATATTTAAAATAAATATCGATATATGTCTAATAACAGTTTTAGCTTTTTCTTTTTATATTGGCAGTTTGGAGGGATATGTTGTGTATCTTTATATGTGTATGCTTCTAGACTGTTGTATTCTGAGCACCTCTGCAAAAACAGTGATAATGTGCGAGTGTGGTGAAAGTGTTGAATGATGATGAAAGTATTTTCTTTTTGGGGATTTTCTTTCTTTTTTTTGGGGTCACCCTGCCTCGGTGGGAAACGGCCGACTTGTTGAAAAAAAAAAAAAGTTAAATTTACTCCAGACCTAACAAAGGTAGCAGAAGAGCCGCTCACTATAATGTATATTAACCTGACTTTTTTTCGAACCTCGCACCACCCAGATATTACAACACTGCTTACTGTACTTTATGACAGTTTACCTCCCTGGATAAAGCGCTGCCGAAGGTGCTAGCTGGCCACTACTCTCACATAGCATTCAGGAACTTCATCAGCGTCACCATTGCGGCTAACTACACCGACGCATACGGCCAGACCCCGTTATACACTAGCAAAGAAGGTCAAAACATAATGGCTTCTTTCGGTTTTAGCTTCAGGTGAGTTGGTGGTGGTAGGTGTTTAAGTGGGTGTTGGTGGTAGTTATGACTAGGTCAAGGTGTTCAGGTGAGTGTTGGTAGTGTTTAGGTGAGTTGTTGATGATAATGATGACTAGGTGTTTTAGGTGGGTGTTTGTGGTGGTAGTGATGACTAGGTGCTCAGGTTGGTATTGGCAGTGATGACTAGGATTTTAGGTGGGTGTTGTTTCCTTCTTGCTGAGCGTTATAGAGCTACTGACAACTTTCACCCTATCGAGCCCCGACGGACAAACTACCTCGTTCCTCACCTTATTTGTTTTCCTCAGGAAGGGCGCACCATTCCAGGCTCGATTCCGGCAGGTCATTGGCCGCCTGGTGAATGCGGGTATCTTGGAGAAGTGGACGCAGGAGGTGATGGCCAATAGGGTGAGGGAGATGAGAGCTGCTGCTGGCAAGACTGCTGCATACACACAGGTACCTAGAGATAACCTACTAGCGGAATCTAACTTATAATTGGTACTTAGAGATGTCCTACATAATGAAACCTACCTATGAGGTAGGTTTCATTATGTGGGACATCTCTGTGTGGGTTACCACAAAGGGTAACCCACCTATACATTGATAACGATAGAGGAAAGAGAGAGAGAGAGAGGTGTTAGATGTGATACTCGACGTCAGGAAGCGGGTGCGGATAAAGAAATTTATAACGATACAGTGCTAATTCTGTGGCTTATGAACTTGACTTGCTTCCAGTAGTTGGTCCCGCCCACATATGACGATGTCTTCAATTTCTGCACTTCTATGGCTCCCGTATATGTCTTCATCCTTAAGCTTTTGTATTAGATAAAGCCTGCTGCGCAGGCAAAACGTCTAACCAGTAAATACCCAGGTGTTGCATATGTGTCTCGTTCATCAGTTATACGGTATTGTATACCTCTGATGTAATGATACACCTTCACTCGTTATCTCCACAGCCGATGACGGAGGATGAGGTGGTACTGGGGTTAATCCACCTGCAGGGTGCCTTCTACATGCTCCTGCTGGGTTGTATCCTAGCTCTCCCTATTTTCCTGGTGGAGTACCTAACACACTCCCGCTCCAACACTACCCTGATGCCACCTTAGAGGACTACCTAACTCACACATAAATGAAGCGCCTGACTATTTATGTCGATATCACCTTAAGAGTACCTGACTCATGGTACTGATGTCACATTAAGAAACACCTGACTCACAACACTCTTCTGCTATGGCCTATAAGGGTTACCTGACTCTTATCCTCTGATGTCACCTTAGAGGACAACTTGCCCTAGACTCATCACTCGCCAGCAGACAGTATTCACCTAATTGTTCTAAAATACATTATGTTGAATATAAATCTTCCACTCCTATTCAGAGGTTCTTGTAAAATTCAGATCAGAAAGCTTTTCTCAAGAACTGGCCCTGGCGACGGTCACACAATTTTCTTTTATTCAGTTTTAGGTAATGATTTATTTATCTTCAGAATTTGATTTACCACACTGTGTGGCTATCCTGATGTATAAGATATTTTACAAGAATAGAGCAAGAACTATTTTTGAGGTTTCTTAGTAAACATAACCTAATGTAATCTTGCCTAGCCTTAGCGTACCCTAGACTTGCTTTGCCTAAAATAACCTAACCTAGCCTAGCTTAGCCTAACCTAGCCTAGTTAATCTAACCTAGCCTAGTTAATCTAACCTAGTCTAACCTCACCTACGTACCTGATCTATGCCTTTTAGGGTTGGCGGTGAGGTTCAGTAATTTGTAACCTAACCTTTACGAAAAAAATAATTCGAGAAAGTCTTGATTCAAAGAGCTTGCAGTCCGATAATTTTGTTTTATTTGAATAACTGGTTGTTGGAAAAAATAATAGAAATTTTGGTTTTCAAACAACTTGCCGGTTCCTTATAAGCTTAGTCATAAAGCTTAAACATTGCTTAATATGATTACAACAAAATTCCAGTAGCGTATAATCAGGCTACACTAATATGCGAGATGTATACAACAATCTTGACGTTTAATATTGTTAATTAAGGGAATATTAAAACATTACGTTTTTACATTGCTTATTTAGGATATATTAAAATATTACGGTTTACATTATTAAGTATGATTTAATAAGTTCTTTATTTATTATCTAGTCTGTGTATTTATGTGTGCAAGTGCAGGATGTGTTTGTCTTAATCTTCATGATTTAAATCAGTCTTTATGTATTATATCGTTTGTATATTAGTGTGCAAGTATGTGTTTGTCTTGATCTTAATTTAATTAAAACTATGTATTATTTCGTCTCTGTATTGTGGAAATTTTTTTACATAATTTTCCTAAAGGTAGGACATGTAAATAAATAATATAATAATTGCGTATTAAAATGTTATGCTATTTGGACCCTTCGAGAAATTTTAAGCGAAGGGGGATGTGGGGTAGCTGGAGAGTGACACGGAAACGTAGACGCCATATTGAAACTAAATGTGTGAGTTCTGGTCCTTGAATAGTGCAACGTAATCAGGCTTCATCGAAATTCGGTGAGTGTATATCGGTCTCAAACCGTAATTTAGAAATTACTGACACGTTCCCACTGAAGTAATGGGATAAATAGTGTGGAAAACATTTACATTTCGGCAACAAGAACGGGAAAATAGAGGACACCGATTCTTCCTAGGAGCACACCTTAGCTAAGTGACCTTCCCATAATGTACAGTAGTTTTGCGTTGGCCATCGTGAATTCCAGCTGTAGTGGTAGCGTTAGGGTGTGTTGCATAAATAGAATAATTGTGGTCCAGTAATTAAATGGTGAGTGCTCATTATATATGTATATATATTTGGAAAATGTTGTATACTGAACAGATCCCCCCCCCCCATCCTTTCTTTTCAAGTCACAAACCATCATATAGTCCACTCAGTATCTTGTAATTTTCCAGCATTGTTGGTATTACTTTTGTTGTAATATTTGATAGGCCCGGCTTTGTTTATGGGTGGGAAAGGGTGTGTGTGGGTCTTGGAGGAGAGGCATGGTGCAGCCTAGTGTCTAAACTCCCACTTGGCTCAGAGGTACAACTAACATGGGAAGTACAATAATTTGTTCCTTAGTTGTGCCCCACTCAAATTATGTGGATAAAATATTTCAGGAATATACCTGTGAACCTCGTCCGCGTAATTTCCCACATTATTATAAGTGTACAAGCATTTGTTTCTCTTTGCACCTCATGATTTGATAAATTCTTTGCGGAGCATCTCGTCTGTGTATGAAGTGTATACGTATGTCTCTTTAGTTCTCCCATTTCTAAATGTAATTATTTGTGACTCGACCTGGCTTTCCCTCTAGCTGTATTCATCAAGCTAGCCAGTATCGATTGTAATAAGCCCCTACTGTTGTCCCAATGCCAACTGAGGTATAAAGGAACATTGTATCATATAACTATTCCTGACAACACAAACTGAAATTTTAGTCTCGTGAGTTGAACGACGTGAGGAGGAAGGGATCATATTGCGTCCCCTGGGTGTGAGGTAAGTGCTTTACCACAGTACCACTACACACAATCTGACCTTAATTTTTAAAGGTGTGGGCCGGTAAGCCAGCGAAAAGCCGCGGTCACATGATCAAATGCTCCAGTGGTGGGTCATCACATGACAAACCCTCATCAGGATACACTTGTCCTGTTTTCTGACGAATCTTACCAAATCTAACTATATCACTAGCATTTAAATAATTTGAACTGAAGAGTCCCCCCTCCCTTATTCGAATTGTTACACTCACTATAGTTTGTATTTCTAAACTGAGAACCTTTTATGTTTGTCACTCAGAAATATCTATGATTTCCGTTTATTTTCATCATCAGTCACTGATTACAGACTGAAATTTATGTCTGCAAGGCCTAGTTAAGATTTTCTGCATCTGAACTATCGATATCTGAAGGCCGAGAGTTCGTCTTCGCCTCCACTGCATAAAGAATAGTCACAATACCGTGGCTGGAGCAATGCACAAATAACCCGCCCTTAAGAAACTGAAACTTAGGACGACGTTTCAATCGGACTTGCACCATTAACTCCAGCCGTCTGGAACATTAACTACAAAGTTTCTGTAACTAATAAACCCATGATGTAATGTTATATATGATATCCTCATCACTTTACTAGTCTCCCAGCTCAGGCTGACACATTTCAATACCTTGTGTATTCAACCTATCCTGCTTGATGGAATTTAAAAGGGAAATAGCCAGCTTTTGTTCTCGTAATACACCTGATATTATAGATACATCAGCAGCACTGTGCTGATGTATCCATTTTTTTAAATAAACAAAACAATGGATGTCGCTCCTTTCGAAATATGACAGTGATTAAATATGGAAGTATATTTTTTAATCATGGGGAAACTCTGGAAGCGTTAAGGGGCACGTAAGTTCCCCCGTCTTCTAATAACATGTTCATTTTTCCACTATAATCTACCTTGTCCATAAATACTAACGCATTTGCTTTGTCTGTTTCGTAAGGTGAAGTCCAGAATCTTTCCTTAAATCATGGTATAACTTAACAAATCTTTGAGGATAAGTGTGTTGCAGAGGTTTGAGCGAAGGTCAGGCCTCAGCAGCACAATATCATCAGTATCAACCTGTGGCCTCGCTAATGTGACCAAAAGCTTCACTTGGTTAGCGGGTCAACACTTTTCCTGTTTTCTGACAAATACAGTACCACACTTCTCGGTATTGTATACCATTCTTATATTGACAAAAATAATATAGAAGAATAAGGTAAACAACAGGCTCAACCAGTGAAGTCTCATATGAAGGTAAAGTAAATGAAAAGCCACTCAAAATATTGGCTTAATGATTACTTGGGAGTTCCACTCAAATGCATTTCTTTCCGATCCATTATTTTTCTATATCCGTTCTGAATCGCATCTATTGGCCAATGCTAGACAGTTACTTATCACGTACACCTCACTCATATATTTGTTCAAAGGTCTGTTTTTAAACCTCTCTTGATAGTATTTCTTTTAATTCCTTATTTGCCATATTCTTTCTTTTGAAGACTAATCGTATTTGCCCTATCCCCTTATTCTACGTTTTTATATTTTTGATAAAATACACCAATAACCCTCACCGGCCTTTGCCTTATTATTCTGAATATTTTTGGTAAGTTCACTGTTCCTAATCTATATTATCATAAAAGATTTTCTGATATCGAAGTTAATGTTACGTAGGAGTAGACTTTCTCTCCAGCTCCTACGGAACTCTCCAACTCCAAACACCCAAAAAGTTAATGTTCTATATTCTCTGTGTGTTTTTCAGGACACTTATGATTATGTAATAGAGAGACCAAAACTGTGCCACAAATCTAATTTGTAACATTTAGTATGCTGGTACCGTGTCATGTTTCTCCCAGTATCTATCTATCTATCTATCTATCTATCTATCTATCTATTTATTACTATCTATCTATTATCTATCTATTTTATATATATATTATATATATATATATATATATATATATATATATATATTATATATATATTATTATATATTCAACAAGCCGGCCGTCTCCCACCGAGGCAGGGTGACCCAAAAAGAAAGAAAATCCCCAAAAAGAAAACACTTTCATCATCATTCAACACTTTCACCTCACTCACACATAATCATTGTTTTTGCAGAGGTGCTCAGAACAGCAGTTTAGAAGCATATACGTATAAAGATACACAAAATATCCCTCCAAACTGCTAATATCCCGAAACCCCTCCTTTAGAGTGCAGGCATTGTACTTCCCATTTCCAGGACTCAAGTCCGGCTATATAAAAATAACCGGTTTCCCTTAATCCCTTCACTAAATATTACCCTGCTCACACTCCAACAGATCGTCAGGTCCCAAATACCATTCGTCTCCATTCACTCCTATCGAACACGCTCATGCACGCCTGCTGGAAGTTCAAGCCCCTTGCCCACAAAACCTCCCTTACCCCTTCCTTCCAACCTTTTCGAGGACGACCCCTACCCCGCCTTCCTTTTCCTACAGATTTAAATGCTCTCTGTCATTCTACTTTGATCCATTCTCTTAAATGACCAAACCACCTCAACAACCTTTCTTCAGCCCTCTGACTAATACTTTTATTAACTCCACACCTTCTCCTAATTTCCACACTCCTATTTTCTGCATAATATTTACACCACACATTGCCCTTAGACAGGACATCTCCACTGTCTCCAACCGCCTCCTCGCTGCTGCATTCACAACCCAAGCTTCACACCCATATAAGAGTGTTGGTACTACTATACATTCATACATTCTCTTTTTTGCCTCCATAGATAACGTTTTTTGACTCCACATATACCTCAACGCAGCACTCGCCTTTTTTCCCTCATCAATTCTATGATTAACCTCATCCTTCATAAATCCATCCGCCGACACGTCAACTCCCAAGTATCTGAAAACATTCACTTCTTCCATACTCCTCCTCCCCAATTTGATAACCAATTTTTCTTTATCTAAATCATTTGATACCTTCATCACCTTACTCTTTTTTATGTTCACTGTCAACTTTCTACCTTTACACACACACACACACACACACACACACACATTGTTCATTGTTTCCGACCTACTATTGTGTCGCTAGCAAGCTTATTGATGTAGCTATTTTTACATCTTCGGTGTTATCGTACATTATGAGCAACCGAGGACCCAGGTTTAATTTAGGGGCAAGTGGAGCCGGACATGATTCTTTACACCTGCTGCCCTTCCTCACCTAATACTATGTACCCAGATGCAAGCCAACTGTTGTGGACGGGCTATATTGGAAAGTGGTGGTATACCTTATATAGGGCTGGGATTTAAAATTATCTGAGGTTGGATGTCATTTCGTAGGCTGTAAATTTAACGGAGTAAAAAATGGCGAAATGAAGTGCCACGTGAGAAGGCTCCATTTTTTTTTTTTATTGGAAAAATTGGAATAGTACGACTTTTTATGTGATAATTTCTGAGTTTGACATATGATTAACCTCAACCCTTCCATTCTGACTACTTGATTGTGCAATATATGAGCGGCTTCTAACTTGATATGCTTATAATTTTAGGATATTGGTGTCTTTGGTCCCTCTGAAAGATTTAAATTAGATTTGGTTTGTGTTTCCTAATTACCCATTTTTACTGAAGAAATTTGAATACTGGTTTTAATATGACGACTCTGGGAGGAAATCAGAAGAGGCATTCATATCCTCAACACTAATATTTAATTGCATTATCAACTTATGCCGCACTCTGCACTATTCCAATCGCTTGCGTTAAGGGACAGGTGACTGGAGTTATGGAAAAGGGGATGCTTTTCTCGGATCAAGCAACGACTAAAATTCATCTAGTTATTTCAATGACTCAAAATTTCATTGCACTACGCCAGGAAACATAATTAAAAGCCTTTAATTTATGTGGTACAGTATACCAATGTTTCCTAAATAAAGAACATTTTATTTACCTCATAACTTAACCATGTCAAGCCTAGCATATGTTTCAACCAAACCTGATACATGTGTAAACCCAGCCTTGTACATATTTAAACCAAGCCTAGTACATATTAAAACCAGGCCTAGTAAATATTTAAAGAAGCCTAGTAAACATTTAAGCCATGCCTAGCACATTTAAACCAAGTCTAGCACATAAAGCCTAGTACATATTTAAACCAAGCCTAGTACATATTTAAACCAAGCCTAGTACATATTTAAACCAAGCCTAGTACATATTTAAACCAAGCCTAGTACATATTTAAACCAAGCCTAGTACATATTTAAACCAAGCCTAGTACATATTTAAACCAAGCCTAGTACATAGACCAAGCTTTGTACATATTTAAACAAGCCTAGTACATCACTGCCTAATAATAGTCTAAGCATAGTATATTTGACTAAATCAAACATTCCTAACCGTACTAAGCATAGCATATCCACATTAAACCAAACTTACCCGACCATAGCAAGGTATAATACTACCCGCAGGATGTCTTACCTGGCTTACACTCTAGCACCTGTTTACTGCAAGGTGAAGAGCAGCATCACCCGCTTTGGATTAAATCCTGGTTCTTCTGTTAAACCTGAGGCGCTACGCCTGAGTTAGTAAGATTGGATGAGGTGTGTTTGGTTTAGGGTAGACTTGACTTGCATATAGTGGTGTGTAATACGAGGCTCCACATTACTATCACTGGGAGTGATAGGTGCGAGCACAGTTCCGGGAAGCCTTGTGATGCTCCAATGCAGCGGGGAATTCAATTTAGTCCATGAAACTGCCGAATTCAAGTCATCAAAGCCGAGCTTAGTGACTCCTATTCCTGCACAGTTTGAATTAGAGAATTTGTTTACATTGTAACAAGTTAAGACTGAAGTTGTGCTAATGATCTGTGCATATATCAATTTATCCCTTTAAATTTTACTGTTTTTTTCATCATGGTGAGTAGCTGGAAATGTAACTAAGAGGCGACTTATTTTATAAGCACATGTATTCCGGCTTACCTTCTCTGATATATCTTTAGTTCATATTAACGAACAGAATATGTAGCTGATCAGCGTTGACTTGCACTTTAACGCTTTTATGACCCCCCTTTTCTGTTAATCCCTTTTTCTGTTACGAATTTTTGTTAACCCCCTTTTAACATTTTTTCTGTTAACTCCCGTATTTGTTAACCGCTTTTCTGTATTAATTACTAAAATAAATAAGTTAGAATTTTGGGTGTAAAAAAACAAACTGTTATAAATGAAAGGTAGATGGAAATACATGGGAAGTAAAGGTATAATGAGAGTAATGTGGAGGAATAAATGGGTATGAGTCAGAAGAATGTGAGAGACAGGTGAAGGAGTAGCTGTAATATTAAATGATCAATTATAGCTATAAAAGAGGGTGTAAGCATGGCTATATTCAAGAATGATGGGGATCAGAATAAAAGTGAAATGTGAAGTGGATTATTATAAGTGTTTAAACGCCTGAGGTGAGAGAGCGAATATTGGTTTTATTATTAAAGTCGCGTATCCTAATCGTTACATATTTATTGTATATTTAACTAATGATATAAAAAATATACATATATTCTTGCGGTGATCTTTCATAATACATTCGATATGGTAATGCATATGAGATATTAATGTAACATGCTATAGAGGTTCTTGATGGCACTACTGCGTGCCCGTAAATAACACAACAACTGAAACTGTATTAGCCAGTCAAAAATATATCCTCAATGCCAGGGTGTGGAAAACGAGACGAAGACAATGATGGAGGGTTTTCCTGTACTTGTTGCAAAGGTCCTGGTGATCCTGCAGTCTGCACTCTACAAGGGATCGTTTTTGTACTCCTGAAAAACAATAAATTACCGGAATTAGATACTGGCAATGCAAATTCGTGTATATTTATTACATGACGAGGCTGGTCGTGAGAAAGTCATGGTGGCGGGTGTCACTTGGTACTTAACACCCGTGTAGTTGAGTCCTTCACTTGTAAAAGGTTTCACCTAACATTGAGTTTTATCAAGTACATCATGTACCTGATAAAGAACAATGTACGGTGAAACATACAAATAATGTACTCCACCCGGTTTTGTATTTTTCACCATCATTTGTACTGAGGCTGAGAAGTCTACTGTCTCCTCGTATTTATGCCAAAAAATTATATCATTTATTTGTGTTTATAAACATTTTGCAATTAAAAATAAATGCGGTAAATGCGGTCATAAAGCTGCAAGTATCATTGGTAAATGCTGACCAAACAAAAGCAAGATTTAGACTGCATTACTAGAAAAATAAAGGTAGGAAAGATCACTTTTAAGATAGGCATCCCTTCAAGTGAGGCTGGCGAAGGGCTCTTAATCTGAGGAATCTGAGCTACCGTATCCTTCCTCAGCTCAAACTTGATTACCTTCCATTCTCCATGGGTTGTAGCACCCTTACAGGTTTAGCACTTCCCTATAATAAAAATAATAACAATAATAAATTAGATTTTTGGTATTCCAATTATTATTTTTTACTAGAATAAACTTGGTAACTTAAGTTTGTTGACTGGCGCAAAATAACAATTTGCATAACTTGGCTGAATTTGTACAAACTTATTTAACTTATTTATTTTCTGAATCTTCGGTGCGAGATGTGACGTACCTGGGTGTACTATGGGAGGTGTTACATACCTGGGTGTACTATGGGAGGTGTTACATACCTGGGTGTACTATGGGAGATGTGACGTAGCTAGGTATACTATGGGAGGTGTGACATACCTGTATGTACTATGGGAGTTGTGATGTACCTGGATATACAATGGGAGGTATTACATACCTGGGTGCACTATGGGAGTTGTGACGTACCTGGGTGTACTATGGGAGGTGTGACGTACCTGGGTGTACTATGGGAGGTGTGACGTAGCTAGGTATAGTATGGCAGGTGTGACGTACCTGGGTATACTATGGGAGTTGTGACTTACTGGGTGTACTATGGGAGTTGTGGAGTACCTGGGTGTACTATGGGAGGTGTGACGTAGCTAGGTATACTATGGGAGGTGTGACGTACCTGGGTGCACTGGGAGTTGTGAAGTACCTGGGTGTACTATGTGAGTTGTGACGTACCTGGGTGTACTATGGTAGGTGTTATATACCTGGGTGTACTGTGGGAGATGTGACGCAGCTAGGTATATTATGGGAGGTGTGACGTACCTGTACGTATTATGGTAGGTGTTACATACCTGGATGTACTATGGGAGATGTGACGTACCTGGGTGTACTATGAGAGGTGTTACATACCTGGGTGTACTATGGAAGGTGTGACGTACCTGGGTGTAACCGACGATGACATCGGTGGTACGACAGGCAGCTAGGGTGAGGAGGGTACGGGCGTGGAGGGCAGCCTGGGCACAGGTCAGGTGGGCACCTTCGCCAGGGTAGCACGGGTCACACGCAGGTATATGTACAGCTCGTCCGGGCATAACCCCTTGTTGCGTGTCACCTGTGGCACGTTAGGCTGAGATAGTGTATGGCTTGGTATAGGTAGGGCATGGCTTGGCATAGGTAGGGCATGTATTGGCATAGGTAGGTGTGAGAGGAGGAGGCTTTACTCCTTTTGGGGAAAGGGGAGGAATGTCGGGATATACCACTGATAGGGATGGGTAAACTCCTACAGTAGGATGGATGGGAGGGATACACTTCTACCAGGGAAGAATACACGAGCATGGTTGGCAGGCTATGTAAGGTAGTAAATATTCCCATTCTATTGTTGATAACAATAATATCTTCAGGTATAGTACAGGACAGGCCAGAAGGGTGGATAAATGCTTTGCACATACTGAGCATGTATGCAGTTCCAATACATATGGGAGATGTAACCCTAATACAGACAATAGATTCAATTACAACACAGGCAATAGATGTAATTCTAGTATGCATTACGTATTTATTAAGTTGATAAATGTTATACTAGAGTGGGTAGACACGAGGGAGGTGGATATAGATTTTGTAGTGATCATGTGAGCTTTCTTATCCCTCCACCAGGGTAGAGTTGACGTGCACTCCACCAGGGTAGAGTTGACGTGCACTCCACCAGGGTAGAGTTGACGTGCACTCCACCAGGGTAGAGTTGACGTGCACTCCACCAGGGTAGAGTTGACGTGCACTCCACCAGGGTAGAGGTGACGTGCACTCCACCAGGGTAGAGGTGACGTGCACTCCACCAGGGTAGAGTTGACGTGCACTCCACCAGGGTAGAGTTGACGTGCACTCCACCAGGGTAGAGTTGACGTGCACTCCACCGGGTAGTTGCGGCACTCCCAGGGTAGAGTTGACGTGCACTCCACCAGGGTAGAGGTTGACGTGCACTCCACCAGGGTAGAGTTGACGTGCACTCCACCAGGGTAGAGTTGACGTGCACTCCACCAGGGTAGAGTTGACGTGCACTCCACCGGGTAGAGGTGACGTGCACTCCACCAGGGTAGAGTGACGTGCACTCCACCAGGGTAGAGTTGACGTGCACTCCACCAGGGTAGAGTTGACGTGCACTCCACCAGGGTAGAGTTGACGTGCACTCCACCAGGGTAGAGTTGACGTGCACTCCACCAGGGTAGAGTTGACGTGCACTCCACCAGGGTAGAGTTGACGTGCACTCCACCAGGGTAGAGTTGACGTGCACTCCACCAGGGTAGAGTTGACGTGCACTCCACCAGGGTAGAGTTGACGTGCACTCCACCAGGGTAGAGTTGACGTGCACTCCACCAGGGTAGAGTTGACGTGCATCCACCGGGTAGAGTTGACGTGCACTCCACCGGGTAGAGTTGACGTGCACTCCACCAGGGTAGAGTTGACGTGCACTCCACCAGGGTAGAGTTGACGTGCACTCCACCAGGGTAGGGGTTGACGTGCACTCCACCAGGGTAGAGTTGACGTGCACTCCACCAGGGTAGAGTTGACGTGCACTCCACCAGGGTAGAGTGACGTGCACTCCACCAGGGTAGAGTTGACGTGCACTCCACCAGGGTAGAGTTGACGTGCACTCCACCAGGGTAGAGTTGACGTGCACTCCACCAGGGTAGAGTGACGTGCACTCCACCAGGGTAGAGGTGACGTGCACTCCACCAGGGTAGAGGTGACGTGCACTCCACCAGGGTAGAGTGACGTGCACTCCACCAGGGTAGAGGTGACGTGCACTCATCAGGGAGAGTTGACGTGCACTCCACCAGGGTAGAGGTGACGTGCACTCCACCAGGGTAGAGGTGACGTGCACTCCACCAGGGTAGAGTTGACGTGCACTCCACCAGGGTAGAGTTGACGTGCACTCCATCAGGGCAGAGTTGACGTGCACTCCACCAGGGTAGAGGTGACGTGCACTCCACCAGGGTAGAGGTGACGTGCACTCTACCAGGGTAGAGGTAACGTGCACTCCACCGGGGTAGAGGTGACGTGCACTCCACCGGGGTCGAGGTGACGTGCACTCCACCAGGGTAGAGGTGACGTGCACTCCACCGGGGTAGAGGTGACGTGCACTCCACCAGGGTAGAGGTGACGTGCACTCCACCAGGGTAGAGGTGACATGCACTCCACCAGGGTAGAGGTGACGTGCACTCCACCGGGGTAGAGGTGACGTGCACTCCACCAGGGTAGAGTGACGTGCACTCCACCAGGGTAGAGGTGACGTGCACTCCACCAGGGTAGAGGTGACGTGCACTCCACCAGGGTAGAGGTGACATGCACTCCACCAGGGTAGAGGTGACGTGCACTCCACCGGGGTAGAGGTGACGTGCACTCCACCAGGGTAGAGGTGACGTGCACTCCACCAGGGTAGAGGTGACGTGCACTCCACCAGGGTAGAGGTGACGTGCACTCCACCAGGGTAGAGGTGACATGCACTCCACCAGGGTAGAGGTGACGTGCACTCCACCGGGGTAGAGGTGACGTGCACTCCACCGGGTAGAGGTGACGTGCACTCCACCATAGTAATATGAAGGGTTTCAGGAAAACTGAAATTGAAACTTGAACCTAGAAATTAAAATGTTTGACAGTGAGTAGCTACAGTTGGATTACGTGAGTGTTAAGTTCAATATAACTAAGTTGTCTGAAAAGTAAGATTGTCAATATAATGATCATTTTCAGTAACAAAACTTTGTCTATAAAAACAGCAATGTTAACATGAAGGAGCAGCAATGCAAAACAACAATGACGATTTTAGCAATTTTTGTTTGTGGGAGGAGGGGGTAGAAATATAATGAAGACAAGATGAGGAAAAATGTGAGTGATGGTGGGAGTCTGAATAGCCAGGTTGCATTAGATATATTTAATATTTATATTTGATCTTTAAAAATTACATCAAGTTCAGGAAGCTTTTTCCCCTAACAGTATTTTTGAGGGAATTGACAGAGACAGAAGTTTTAGAATTTGGTTCTGAATGCCTTATTTAATGACCTTTTATTTACATGTAGTTTCTACTCAAGTTGAGTGGCACACGCGGGATATCATGTTTTGTGTCTATATATTCTGCTTCAGCTCTGTAAGAGCTTCAGGACAAGCTTTATAGGCAATTTGTATAAGGTCTTCTGTATATATAGTACGCACAGTAGTAAGTGTGAACATTCGGTATACAGAATAAGCTTAAACTGTTGAACAGCGTGGATATGTGTGGTCTGGTACCTGATTGAGTGATCAATATAACAGATTTTTGTTGAATTAAGATCAATTTTATGGGATCTGTTTTGGTACCGAAACCTGGTAGGAAAATAGATGAGAGGATGCATGAATAGATGAGAAGATGCATACTCATCTACCAGGATAGACTGATATACTCGATGGATAGACGGCATCTAAAGTCTGACGCAGAAGCCTTAGCACACCACCGGGACTGACTCAGACAAAGATTAGATGTATCTTAAAGAAGGACTAATACGAGGGCTGCACATGTCACAGCTGAACTAGACCTATGAATACAATACTCACGGGACAATAAATGCTACTATTCAGCCTATCGCTTCTCATATTAGTACTAGCATTATGAATACAAGTGTTATTCAACCGATACCATTACCAAAACAATATCCTCTCTCACCTTTCTTACCCTACTGGTAAAAATATAAACAGGGTTTATATAATGAGTTAGGTAAATATCAGTGTATATATACAAAGCGAATTTACAATAATTCCTATTTTAGGGACTGAAACTTTCTTGTGTGCAAATGAATTGCAGCTTTGATGACCCATGTGCAGTCAGCATGCCGTAAATATAGCAAAGTGACAGTAGCCAAGAAGCACATAGACTGACCATAGACTTGACCATGGGAACGAGAGAGTACTTCAGGAAAGGCCACTCGCTGTAGCTCTCAACTTTCTGGCCATCGATATTGGCCACCAGCTCCTTGGCCAGGTTGTGGAAGTCCTTGTGGCTCTTGAAGGGAGAAGTCTTCTTGTTCTTCTGCTGGAAAAACTCCTCCAGACTCCAGGCCTGTCAGAGATACATACAGTAATGTGAAGGAGAGTGTATACACTGTGTGGGAATTAGTAAATTATTATTATTATTATTATTATTATTATTATTATTATTATTATTATTATTATTAAGCTCTAAATATTTTCATTCTGCTCAAGGAATGTTAAGAGGCTCGATTCTCTCTCCGTTAAGCATGAAACAAAAAAAGTTACTCTTGAAGTCAAGTGTAGTAGTAATGTGTAGTGGTAGGGAGGAGTTAAGGAGTAGTTGTATGAACTACTGGGGGGTGATAGGTGGGGTTTTGGGTGCAACTGCAGGAAGATGTGGGAGGGATTAGCGGGCGGTTGTAAGTAGCGGTAGTTGGTGACAATTAGGAGGTAGTTGTTGGGATTATGAGAAGTAGAGATAAATAACATCTGTAGGGATGGTGAGAGGTAGAGATTAGAGGCAGTTGTAGGGATTAAGGGTAGAGATTCGAGGCAGTTGTAGGGATTAAGGGTAGAGATTCGAGGCAGTTGTAGGGATTAAGGGTAGAGATTCGAGGCAGTTGTCTAACAGGTACAAATCTTAAGGAACAACTCTAATAAATACTCGTTATTTCACTAATTAATGATTTCTGAAATCCCTGCATAACCTTCACGGGCTCAGCGCTCTATCTTTTCTTGAAGAAATCAGTTAATGAGTTCAGTGGGGCTCGAACTCACGTCGCCCATGCGAACACTGCGCCTTGCACCAGTGAATCATTCAGAGCCACGCATTAATTATAACCATAATTTTTTAAAGGGGTGGACCGGTAAGCCAGTGGAAGGTCTCGGTCAGATGACCAAAAGCTCCAGCGGCGGATCATCATATGACTAAGACCCGAATCAGGAAACACGTGTTCTGTTTCCTGACAAATCTTACGTAGGAGTCAGGCGAGCTAAGCAGAGTGTGTGCGTGAGGTGACAACTCTGCTGGCATATGTCACTGTTCTGTACAACCACTAAGTATTTTATAATTTAGATGGAAATTAGTAGAGATTTTATATTTTAAAACGAATGTTCACTGGTGAATGACAAAAATTTCATCATGTTGGCAATAACTGTCACTACTACAACTACGAGAGAGAGAGAGAGAGAGAGAGTTGATCAAATGAAAATGCTGGCACACAGATGGCTCCAACTTCATCCTGTTCCCTACTTGTATGTCTCATAACAATAAAAATGCTTTCAAATGAGCTGAGGTAGGTAACAGCTCTTAGCTTCCCAATAAAGTTAGGAATCCTTAACCTGTAAATAGCTTGTCAATAAAGCTAGGGATCCTTAACCTTGTCAAACCCTGTGTAAAAAAAAAAAAAAGAAAGAGAGAGAGAGAGAGATAATATTGAGAAGATCCTGTTCTTCTCTTTGTACCAAGGGCACATCACCTGATTCCTCCAAGCATTAGATGCGAAGTAGACTGGCGTAGCTAAGCCGTAGTTGGGCCAGTCGACGACTTTCTTTTTGAGTGAGGGCAGCTTGGAGGCGGTTGTGTTGGTGAGTGCCTGGTGGGGCAGGGGCCACATGGGCAGCCCATGGGAGTACCAGTGGTACTTGGTAGTCGCCAGGGCCTCAACCTCGTTCACCACCCAGTAGGGATCTGCAAGCACGTCCTGTGAAGCAAAGAGATATCTATAGCGGTGAGTGGCATATACACTTAGTTTTGAGAGTAGGGATGATAGGGTCTACGAGGCCAGGACTAGTGTGATCGTTCGGGAGTAAATGAGAGGAGGCTTCGAAGAACCCAGCAGACTCGACCCCTTAATGTGAGTTGTGCACACAAAGATGCACACACACACACACCACACACACACACACACACACACACAGGCGCCTGTGACAAGCGGGGTTCCACAGGGGTCAGTCTTAGGACCTGTGCTGTTTTTGGTATATGTGAATGACAAAACGGAAGGGATAGACTCAGAAGTGTCCGTGTTTGCAGATGATGTGAAGTTAATGAGAAGAATCAAACCGGACGAGGATCAGGCAGGACTACAAAGAGACCTGGACAGGCTACAAGCCTGGTCCAGCAACTGGCTCCTTGAGTTTAACCCTGCCAAATGCAAAGTCATGAAGATTAGGGAAGGGCAAAGAAGACCGCAGACACAATATAGTCTAGATGGCCAAAGACTGCAAACCTCACTCAAGGAAAAAGATCTGGGGGTGAGTATAGCACCGAGCACATCTCCTGAGGCGCATATCAGTCAGATAACTGCTGCAGCATACGGGCGTCTGGCAAACCTACGGATAGTGTTCCGATACCTCAGTAAGGAATCGTTCAAGACTCTGTATACCATTTACGTCAGGCCCATACTGGAGTATGCAGTACCAGTTTGGAATCCACACCTGGTCAAGCATGTCAAGAAATTAGAGAAAGTGCAAAGGTTTGCAACAAGACTAGTCCTAGAGCTAAAGGGATTGTCCTACGAAGAAAGGTTGAGGGAAATCGGCTTGACGACACTGGAGGACAGGAGGGTCAGGGGAGACATGATAACGACATATAAAATACTGCGCGGAATAGACAAGGTGGACAAAGATGGGATGTTCCAGAGATGGGACACAGAAACAAGAGGTCACAATTGGAAATTGAAGACTCAGATGAATGAAAGGGATGTTAGGAAGTATTTCTTCAGTTATAGAGTAGTCAGGCCGTGGAATAGCCTAGAAAGTGACGTAGTGGAGGCAGGAACCATACATACTTTTAAGGCGAGGTTTGATAAAGCTCATGGAGCAGGGAGACAGAGGACCTAGTAGCAATCAGTGAAGAGGCGGGGCCAGGAGCTATGAATCGACCCCTGCAATCACAAATAGGTGAGTACACACACACACGCACACACACACACACACACACACACACACACACACACACACACACACACACACACACACACACACACACACACACACACACACACACACACACACGGCCCAGTGACAGTATGAAAATGACATAGCATCGAAAATCAAGACTGACCCGAAACTGTTGTATAGCCACATCAGGAGGAAGACAACAGTCAAAGACCAGGTGATCAGATTGAGGACAGAAGGTGGAGAACTCACAAGAAATGATCAGGAGGTATGTGAGGAGCTAAACAGAAGATTTAAGGAAGTTTTTATAGTAGAGACAGGAAGGGCTGTGGGAAGACAGTACTGAAGGGAACATCAAGAGGGAATATACCAACAAGTGTTGGATGACATACGAACAACTGAGGAGGAGGTACAGAAGCTGCTAAGTGACCTTGATACCTCAAAGGCGATGGGACCGGACAACATCTCCCCATGGGTCCTAAGAGAAGGAGCAGAAATGTTGTGCGTGCCCCTAACCACAATCTTCAACACATCCCTTGAAACTGGGCAACTACCTGAGAAATGGAAGACAGCAAATGTAGTCCCCATATTTAAGAAAGGAAACAGAAATGAGGCACTAAACTACAGACCTGTCTCTGACATGTATTGTGTGCAAAGTCATGGAGAAGATTATCAGAAGGAGAGTGGTGGAACACCTGGAACGGAACAAGATTATAAATGAAAACCAGCATGGGTTCATGGAAGGCAAATCCTGTGTCACAAACCTCCTGGAGTTTTATGACAAGGTAACAGAAGTAAGACACGAGAGAGAGGGGTGGGTTGATTGCGTTTTCCTAGACTGCAGGAAGGCCTTTGACACAGTTCCCCACAAGAGATTAGTGCAGAAGCTGGAGGATCAGGCGCATATAACAGGGAGGGCACTGCAATGGATCAGGGAATACCTGACAGGGAGGCAGCAACGAGTCATGGTACGTGAAGAGGTATCACAGTGGGCACCTGTGACGAGCGGGGTCTCACAGGGTCAGTTCTAGGACCAGTGCTATTTTTGATAAATGCGAACATGATGGAAGGAATAGACTCTAAAGTGTCCCTATTCGCAGATGATGTGAAGTTGATGAGAAGAATTAAATCGGGTGAGGATGAGGCAGGACTGCAAAGAGACCTGGACAGGCTGGACATGTGGTCCAGAAACTGGCTTCTCGAATTCAACCCTGCCAAATGCAAAGTCATGAAGATTGGGGAGGGGCAAAGAAGACCGCAGACAGAGTATAGGCTAGGTGGACAAAGACTACAGACCTCACTCAGGGAGAAAGACCTTGGGGTGACCATAACACCGAGCACTTCACCGGAGGCACACATCAATCAAATAACTGCTGCAGCATATGGGCGCCTGGCAAACCTGAGAATAGCGTTCCGATACCTTAATAAGGAATCGTTCAAGACACTGTGCACTGTGTATGTTAGGCCCATACTGGAGTATGCAGCACCAGTCTGGAACCCACACCTGGTCAAGCACGTCAAGAAGTTAGAGAAAGTACAAAGGTTTGCAACAAGGCTAGTCCCAGAGCTCAGGGGAATGTCGTACGAGGAAAGGTTGAGGGAAATCGGACTGACGACACTGGAGGACAGAAGGGTCAGGGGAGACATGATAACGACATACAAGATACTGCGGGGAATAGACAAGGTGGACAGAGACAGGATGTTCCAGAGAGGGGACACAGAAACAAGGGGTCACAACTGGAAGCTGAAGACTCAGACGAGTCACAGGGACGTTAGGAAGTATTTCTTCAGTCATAGAGTCGTCAGGAAGTGGAATAGCCTAGCAAGTGAAGTAGTGGAGGCAGGAACCATACATAGTTTTAAGAAGAGGTATGACAAAGCTCAGGAAGCAGAGAGGGAGAGGACCTAGTAGCGATCAGTGAAGAGGCGGGGCCAGGAGCTGAGTCTCGACCCCTGCAACCATAATTAGGTGAGTACAGTTAGGTGAGCACACACACACACACACACACACACACACACACACACACACACACACACACACACACACACACACACACACACACACACACACACACACACACACACACACACATACACACACAACACACACACACACACACACACACACACACACACACACACACACACACACACACACACCACACACACACACACAACACACACACACACACACACACACACAACACACACACACACACACACACACACACACACACACACACACACACACACACACACACACACACACCACAAGTGATATTTGGAGACCATATAAATATAAAAGATGAATTAGAACAAAGTTAAATAAATCAAGGCAGAGTAAACACGAAGGATGGACACTGAGAGGAGAGATGGAGCCGGTGTACGTGGCTACTGCCAAGCAAAATGCTTAAAGGATTTCAGTAGTAAAGTGCACATGACAGGATGTAAATGAATAGAAAAATGTAATAAGAATAAGAAAAAGGCAGCCAGACTCACCCACGTCAAGCATGACGAACACTTGTTAAAATAATGATTCAAACACTTAAGTGAACATGAACACTTCACTGATATGTCACTTAGGATAGATCTTTGAAAGAGAGAAACAATATCTAAAATATATTGCAAATGACAATGAAAGACTACAATTTGCAGGAAATAAAATTCAAAGTGCTCAGTATTAAAAAAATAAATTGGATGAAATTTACAACAAATGGAAAAAAAAATGTGAGTGCGTACAAGCCAGCATTTAAAAATCACTTTATCATCGACGATGACAGTAAAATCATCGAACTGAAGGAAGTAATGTGAAGGATACTAGATATAAAGTGCCAGAATGTTTACACGAAAGGTCACTTAAGATGTAGTGGATTCAGGTCCCCAGAAAGTCACAGAAAAATGGATCTTACTGAAATAAAGTAGTAAAAAGGCTATTAATAAACATTGACAAGAAAAGTAGTGGAACCAGACGAGTTATCATCAAAGGTTTAGAGAAACAGCAGAATTAAGCTAGTCGCTCTGGAGCTTTTTCAGGCTTTCATTAGAGAAAGTTAAATTAATGGATGAATTTAACATGACTGTTCTCAGACAGCCCAAGATTGTAATCCACTCCCTCCTTAAAGGTATATATGCTTTTGCTAATTCATCAACTCTATTATGCATGTTAAGTTCAATTTGAAATGGGGTTCACATAAGGTGTAATCTGACTCCACTGTCAACAGTCCTACCATACCTGTATTTAGCTTCTGACATAAGCACGCAACAACTGAGTTAGGAGAATAACGAAAATAACTTCAACTGAACTTCAATGATTTAATATTGAGGGAGACTGACACCAGTCAGTCTATCATCATTCTATCATGCAGGAGGAGCTACATGTTTATGGTACATCCAACAAAATAAGCAGACTCTTGGATGTCACTACCGTCAGGCTCCAGTTGGGTTAAAAGTATCTCTGGGAGGCTGCATGAGGCTGATGTAGACATAACTAAATGTAAACTTTGACAGAGGACAGTTGTCACACCTTGCGTCATTATGTACTGGAATGCGATAAAATTAATGAATTCAGAGACAACGCACTCAGAAATATTCAAGAAATGTTGAAGTATTTTATCCACAGTGGTATACTACAAACCATTCTGGAAGAATACCCCGACTTTGCCTATTGTAAATAAGCCATACATACTTAAACTAGTTTAAATTCAAGCATACCTTGTTAGAATATAAGGTAATACTTTTGTGATTTAATTCATATCTGCATAAATAACATTACATGTGTAATCAAATGTAAACATGTAAATAGTTCATTACCACTGTAGCTTGTTTAGCTATCATTGGCCCATACCCTGGCCAATTATGTGCCTCTCTAAACTTTTGACTTCCTCTCGCAGGATGGGTATGGAGTGCATAATAAAGATATTACACTAACTGATGGATTAATCGAAAATAGCATTCATTCAAAACAGCAAACTCTGTGTTAACATTAAAATAGGCCACAGCAAAGTGTCTTCAAATTCACAAGCGATATTGGAAAAACTCTGGCAAGTCACAGAGAAAAAGTAGATAAAAATCCTGTTATCTAACTATCAGATCAGCACTATCTTGTAATACTGTATTTTTCTTTGTATTTCCTGCACTTACTTGATTATCACCTGGATTTTATAATCAACCGTGGCGTCAAACACCAGTAAGTATGTAAATAAAACACAAATACAATATTGTGAGTCCAACAGGAGGGACAAGATCAGGAATAGAAACCGGGATGACCATAGTCTGGAGGGAGATGTCAGGAACGGAGGGCACTTGATCCACGTGAAAGATGGACTAACATTAATTTAGCCCAGACACCAGACACACGAAAACTGACGAAAACTGGATGACGATATTTGACGTGGCAATCAGAGCTGAGTTCAGACAATGTCGCCTACAGCCAAGAGATGTGTGGTCATTTGCTTCTTCTTAAGAGCTTATAGTATTACTAGCTCCGCGTTCCTTGAGGAGTGTTACTACATTCCTCAGGTGTTCACCTGGCCTCAGTTTCCCTTCTATTTTTATCAACGTTTGCATAATTAAGCATCCTTAACACTGCCAGAGGCGATCACTAACCTGAGAGATACATCGTGCTTCCACGTGGCAGTATTGCTAGCAATGTCTCCTGTTCTCCATTCAAGAATAAACTGAATGTAGCTACTATCACCTGTGCAGCCATCAAGGAACTTCTGAGGAAGAAATCCACTAAACTTATCAAGTTTAATACAGGTGTTTATCATTCCGTGTGGTGGATACGACAGTCTACGTGGGTGAAACGTCGAGGAAACCTGAACAGTGAAAGTGGACAAGTATGTATGCACGAGTGATAACAGTGCCTGCATTATACACGGAGATTCCCTTGGACACTTCATGAAGAAGAATGACAGAAGCAGCAGTATATCGAGTTGGCATTAATTTCCACGTCAAATGAAGTCAACTAGAAGACAGACAGTTTTAACTCATCCAGTGTCTTGGCTAAATTACCCCATCAAAACGCACCTATCAGGTGACCTCAGTTTGTTCCTGACCTCTCTCTCCAGGTTATGACTATCCAAGCGCTCTGCGCCTGTCCTCCCCGCTTATACACACACTGTTTTTCTCAGTCAGTGTGCTGAACTGACAAAGTTTCCAGTTTACAGTGAGCAAAACGTTTCCAGAAATAAATGTCCTAGTGCAATACTTGTATCTTCGTTACATTCATGTATTTTACTTTGTGCCGTGTGTACAAACCTGAGTACCACATGTTTCTACCTCTGTTTCATCTTTTGTTACCTGTATCCACATGACAGAAACTTGTGCTGGTGTCTACTACCTGTAGTACCCGAGTTCTACCTGTTTCTTTTTTAAATATGAGTATCCCGTTTCCACCTGAAAACCATGTCTACCCACCTGAGTACACTCTTTCTGACCTTCCTTCTGGTCCCGTCTCCACTTTCTCGCTTAGGAATGACTATAATGGTCCAGGATGGACCGAAGCTGTTTAAGGTTCCTGTTCTAAGTGTGGGTCATTTATGAATTGTTCCAACCACGGTATTACGACTTTTGTTCTTTACCTGAGTCACCAGGTGTACCCAATTGTAGTACATCTGAGTCACCATTGTACTCACCTGTGCTTCACCTGAGTACCACCTGGCCTGGTTGTCGAAGCCGTCACGCTGGATCAGGAAGACAGCGAACTGTTTGAGTTTGTTGTTGAGTTCGACGTGAGGTGCCGCCTTGACGCACATAGCCTGCAGTACTGACTCCCGCACCGCGCTGCGCCGTGATGGGTCAGCGAACCTGGAAATGGGGAGGGAGTGTGTGATAATAGGTGGAGGAGGGAATAGTGAGAATAGAATGGGTGTTTATGGGGAGTGGAGGAGGGGCTAGCAGTAGGAGGATTTTCTTTCAGAAATGAACAGGGAACATCAGAATTGGGAAGCCTTTAAAGAAAGGAGGAGTCTTGATGCTGGCAAAGGGATCTTGATCCAAGGATGTGGAAAAAATTTCCAACCTCCAGGGGGATGGACGTCCCCTGGGGACATGGAGGCCCCATGGGGACAGTGACATCCATTGGGGCAGCAACCCATCGAGGGAGATAAGACCCGTCTCACTACTCCCACACTGTGAGTGAAAGGAGTCATGACCTTTGCACTAGTAGAGATCAATTAGCGCATTCCAAAATGCCCATTCATCTTAACACGTGTATCTGATCCAGCAAAATCAAACACTCTCTAATGGGAATACAGTTTCATAGATGATAACACGAGACACCATCTGCACAACAGAAGTTACGCTCTACGAGAGTGTAACTGAGCAGGCATTCGTCTGAGAAAATGGCGATTTCCCAAGGCCGGGAAAAATTCGAAAATATATGCCTGGGTACTCTAGAAACACCCAGGGTCTTAACCTACAGCCAGCATTGTAGACTCAAGGAGTCCTCTCCCTCTCTGATTCAAGTGAGTTGAGAGAGCTGGCATTAATGTGTGTAGATCCTAGGTCAGCAGATATCCGTCCATAAAAGAGGGGGAGAGGTAGCAACAGTTGAGTTGAGTTGATTCATGATTCGAGATTGCAATTCGACGAATGAACGCATGTCGAGAAGGCTGGGTGACGATGTAGCGGGTGCCGCTCTACCCGTTCACCCGACCCGATGTAGAAACATTTGTGGCCAGTTACGTGTGCGTATTTCTCGTGCCGTGCATCTACGATCTCCAGAAAAAAATAGACATTCTTCCTGTCGTGAACAGATAGGGATATGTCAACGAGTGTAGCAAGTACCACGGGAGTACTATTCTCATGTAGTTCACTCGTGTTAGCGTCAGGCGACGTGTACCAAGCAGACGGCGAAGTCGAGTTGTCCAGCATTATTTCTTCAATCAAGCCAACAATTTCGGTGTCAGAGACATCAAGACGTCACAGCTCCCGTTACAATGAGCCAGGTAAGTTCCATTTTACTTACATCTGCCTATTTAGTATTGCAGTACCTAGGGTCGATGTCAAGTGAATAGGACTAAACATTTCGAGGTCGTGATGAGCCGGCGATTGCCCAAACCCAGGTAAGGGCAGCCCACGACTTACAAGTGATATACCTGACATATTGGAGTTATATATCTACAGGGAATGTATTAACCCTATTTGTAATCACCTTCCACATACTCCTGGTGAGTCTGTAGACGGCGAATTACGGAGGCGAAACACTTGGGGAAGGCTGCAAGTAGTTTCGAGCTGTCATCAACAAGATGAGTATTAATTCACTTAGTGGTTCCTTTATTATAATAATTTTAAATACTCATCTTATCCAAAATCCCACACAAAGGATATGGAGTTCCCTTACCTTTCCTTACATCAAATCTGATTACCCCCATTACCCAGGCGCTTGTGACTTCTACACTGTAGTGGTTCCAACAACAACAACAACAACAACAACAACAACAACAACAACAACAATAATAATAATAATAATAATAATAATAATAATAATAATAATAATAATAATAATAGACGAGAACTTCAGCAGGCTCTCACTCTACTTAACCAGTTTTTAAAGCTGTTTAAAGTATTATCTTCTGTGACACTACATAGCAGTTTATTCCATTAATGAACAACTACAGTACCACACCGTTACCTCCCCCATATCCTTATTAACTCTTAGTTTATTCAACTTCAGTTCATTGTTTCAAGTTTGTTCTTGGTTCTAAATAATCAGCACTATTTATATTCGTCTTCCACTCCATATCTTCCCCATATCTACGTCTTTTGAGAGCGCAATCAGCCATAGACAACATTATCACAGAATATAAGAATTGCTTCTTGAATCATTCGGGGCTACAATATCCTTGGACCTCTTTAGAGTAAACATGGTTACTTCGCATGTCCCAGGCGCTGTATAATGTTTACGAGTCATGAATATAATAACGCGTAATACAGGAATCGTGCCTCAGTGCTACACTTCAATTTGCATACACAAGAGAACGTACACGCTCCCCAGCACCGCCCCTCAGCAATAATTTAATAGAAAACTTGATCCGGCACACTGTGCGGCGACAGCCGCTACACTGATCTGTATGGCATCTTGCTATCAGAAAAAGTGTTGTACTATAATGTCGTGTGTGTAAAAAGACGCATGCGCATACCTTAGGCAACTTTAATGAGGATATGTTCGGCCCTACAGGAGAAGTCACGTCCCCTCCTACTCTGGATCAAGAATCCAACCCAAAATTTACGCCTACTCATCCATTTAATAATCAAACAACACCCACCCACCCAAAATGTCCCGCTGCGTAACCATCCGCCGCCTTTCAACCACTCCGTCTACTCGCCTACATGCACACAAGCACCTATCTATCCCCACATCCGCACCTCACTCACAAACTCCGTGTGCTTTCCACCACAAGTACGATGTTATTAGAACACTTACTTGATATCCTTGCAGTCTGTGGCTGGGTTGAGAGGTTTGGTGGGTTGGTTGGGAATCTGGACGAAGCACCATCCTTCCTTCACCACCGCCAGTACTCCCACCACCAACACCGTCCACTTCACCAAAGATTTCTCCATGACTGTGGAAGTATATGCATTAGAAAGACTAATTTGCAACATTAAGAAACGTTTATTATAATACGTTTTGTTCACCAGTGGCATTATCAGTCCAGTATTTCGCTCACCAAGGGCATTTTCAATCGAATGTTTCGCTCACTAAAGCTTTATCAGTCCAATATGAGATGGAGGGAGCTATACTTTAGGTGATGGAAGTATATTGAGGGGATATTGAGGCTGGGTGAAGAATGAGCGTGAAACGGCTAGATTAAGATTAGGACTCAAGGATAGGTAATGAGAAGGATAAGTCTCACGTTAAGGCTCGGGATTAGCGGTGTTTTAAATTTTCTATTTCATTTCATTATTATTTATCAGAGTTAGGGGAAACTAAAATATTTTTTTTCCAAGTCCGTGCACTCCACCATTCACTTAGGTAAGTCATCCAAGAAATATCTTCTCTATGAAACATGACAGAACAGTTGTGTGAGTCTCTAGTACGTAACTCAAGGCTTACAATTTCTGCGATCATAAAATTACTTAAAATAAAGTTCCACCGTTTAAGAATCACCGAAGTCCGTAATAAATGTCAACAACATACAAAGAAGAATCATATTGGTGACCATGTCGATCACACACCTTGTTAATGTTAGTATTGGAAAACAGTCTTGACTGCCCCTGTGGAATACTGTGTGACATTGATCTTACTGTGTTATCCTAGGCTGATATACTATAGTGTGTGATGCGCTATATAGGTGTGCCCGTAACACCTGCGTGTCCCTAAGAACATTGTACAAATTGTGAAATTGTTTCTAAAGCCGATATAAAAACTTATTGCTGTAACATGCTTGGATATAAGGTGCAGTTCTCGAGAAATTTGGGATTGTATTATGGAATACTAGGTAGCCTGGTGGCCAAAGCTCTCGCGTCACACGGTGAGGGGTCCAGGTTTGATTCCCAGCAAGGGTAGAAACGTTGGGCTTGTTTCCTTACACCGGTTATCCATGTTCACCCATCAGTAAACTGGGTACCTGGATGTCAGTGGACTGGTGTGGGTCGTATCCTGGGACAAAATTGACATAATTTGGACCAAATGTTCTGCATAACAAGGGACTTTCTATATAGTAGTATATCATTGATGTCAGCTAGGACTGTATACCTTGTACATGTACTTGTAGAAATAGATATATTACAAAATAACAAAAAAAGGCACAATACCGTGGCTGGAACGATACACAAATAACCCGCACATAAAAGAGAGAAGCTTACGACGACGTTTCGGTCCGACTTGGATATATTGGATATATTACTATTATTATATTAAAAAAGTTTCTCGTTTTAAAGTAAAAAATATCGAGAATTGTACTTATTAAAACGTACATTTTGCTCAAAGAGTTTTTGGAATTGTATATACAAAGCCAAAGCAACTGCAAGTTATTGATATGCAAGAAAAACTTACAGTTAGTGGAGGTGATGTGCTCTTACCGGGTGACTGTTGTGTAGTGTGTCCTCACCCAGTGTCTTGCTGCTGTAGAGGTGTTAAGTGTGGTGGTGGTGGTGGTGGTGGTGGTGGTGGTGGTGGTGGAGTAGGTGGTGTAGGTGGTAGAGGAGGAGCGGCGTAGCTGCACCACACTCAGCAGGTGCCACTGGTAAGATGATAACTCCACTGGTAAAATGATAACATCACCGATGTCACACATCGTCTTTCCCTCTTCTTCTCTCGTCACACTTGCTGTCAATACCAGCATCTCTTCATTGAATCTATTTCTAACTTTCTTAAGACGTCTTGTTTAGTATTTATTTCTTAACAACGCAAATCCAAATAAGTTTTACTGCATAAAAGATTATGTTCTTCTTCCAACCTAAACGGTGGATAGTTTTAACAAAGAGGATCACAGTAAATTAATTGATTCGCCAGGATGGTGAGTCTAGCAAGTGTTTCATGGGACGTATTTGTTTACATGTACCAATTGTTTGTACTTCTCTAGAAGTTTCTTCGTTTGTGGGGCGGAAAGTGGGAGAACAGCTTCTAATTCTTTCACTAGCATCAAAACACGCCTCTTGTAAGATGCTGGGGGAAGCTACGGTTAATGAAGACACTTCCGGCCTTGTTAAGCTTGGTCACACCTAGTTTGGAATCCTTGAGTAACAAGCATGCGAATACTTACTGTGTGCGGTCACTTTTGAAACATGGTTATACTGTGGGAACTAAAGCTAGTTATGTTTCCCTGTCATATTTCATCACACATGACAGGTTTCGTACATAGGATAGTGAAGTCAGCTTGAACTGGGAAATTTCAGTAGGTGGATGAGGATATTGTCAACATTCCGGTATGGATTAAGTAGGAATGGAGTTACTATTGCCACCTCTCAAGCAACATATCTCGCACACAGGGAGAAGGTAGCTTATGGGAATGTCTTTATTACAGAGATACTGAAACACACACACACACACACACACACACACACACACACACACACACACACACACACACACACACACACACACACACACACACACACACACACACATACACACACACATTGCGTGCCACTTACCACAATCTTCAACACATCCCTGGAAACTGGGCAACTACCTGAGGTATGGAAGACGGCAAATGTAGTTCCCATTTTTAAAAAAGGAGACAGAAAAGAGGCACTAAACTATAGACCTGTGTCATTGACGTGTATAGTATGCAAAATTATGGAGAAGATTATCAGGAGGAGAGTGGTGGAGCACCTGGAACGGAACAGGAGTATAAATGCCAACCAGCACGGATTCACGGAAGGCAAATCCTGTGTCACAAACCTTCTGGAGTTTTATGATAAAATAACAGAAGTAAGACAAGAGAGAGAGGGGTGGGTTGATTGCATCTTCTTCGACTGCAAGAAGGCCTTTGACACAGTTCCTCACAAGAGATTAGTGCAGAAGCTAGAGCATCAGGCGCATATAACAGGAAGGGCACTGCAATGGATCAGAGAATACCTGACAGGGAGGCAACAACGAGTCATGGTACGTAATGATGTATCACAGTGGGCACCTGTGACGAGAGGGGTCCCACAGGGGTCGGTCCTAGGACCAGTGCTATTTTTGGTATATGTGAACGACATGACGGAAGGGTTAGACTCAGAAGTGTCCCTGTTTGCAGATGATGTGAAGTTAATGAGGAGAATTAAATCTGATGAGGACCAGGCAGGACTTCAAAGAGACCTGGACAGACTGGACACCTGGTCCAGCAAATGGCTTCTCGAATTTAATCCTGCCAAATGCAAAGTCATGAAGATGGGGGAGGGGCACAGAAGACCACAGACAGAGTATAGGCTAGGTGGCCAAAGACTGCAAACCTCACTCAAGGAGAAAGATCTTGGGGTGAGTATAACACCGAGCATGTCTCCGGAAGCACACATCAATCAGATAACTGCTGCAGCATATGGGCGCCTGGCAAACCTGAGAACAGCATTCCGATACCTTAGTAAGGAATCATTCAAGACACTGTACACCGTGTATGTCAGGCCCATACTGGAGTATGCAGCACCTGTTTGGAACCCGCACTTGATAAAGCACGTCAAGAAACTAGAGAAAGTACAAAGGTTTGCGACAAGGTTAGTTCCAGAGCTAAGGGAAATGTCCTATGAGGAAAGATTAAGGGAAATCGGCCTGACCACACTGGAGGACAGGAGGGTCAGGGGAGACATGATAACGACATATAAAATACTGCGTGGAATAGACAAGGTGGACAAAGACAGGATGTTCCAGGGAGGGGACACAGAAACAAGAGGCCACAATTGGAAGTTGAAGACACAAATGAGTCAGAGAGATAGTAGGAAGTATTTCTTCAGTCATAGAGTTGTAAGGCAGTGGAATAGCCTAGAAAATGACGTAGTGGAGGCAGGAACCATACACAGTTTTAAGACGAGGTTTGATAAAGCTCATGGAGCGGGGAGAGAGAGGGCCTAGTAGCAACCGGTGAAGAGGCGGGGCCAGGAGCTAGGATTCGACCCCTGCAACCACAAATAGGTGAGTACATATACACACACACACACAAGACAGGATGTTCCAGGGAGGGGACACAGAAACAAGAGGTCACAATTGGAAGTTGAAGACACAGATGAGTCAGAGATATTAGGAAGTATTTCTTCAGTCATAGAGTTGTCAGGCAGTGGAATAGCCTAGAAAGTGATGTAGTGGATGCAGGAACCATACATAGTTTTAAGACGAGGTATGATTAAGCTCATGGAGCGGGGAGAGAGAGGACCCAGTAGCAACCGGTGAAGAGGTGGGGCCAGGAGCTAAGACTCGACCCCTGCAACCACAAATAGGTGAGTACGCACACACACACACTCACTCCAGGCCTAGTGTCTAATCGACAATATGCCTAAGACAAAATGGTAACTAACACACACGCACGCACGCACGCACGCACGCACGCACGCACGCACGCACGCACGCGCGCACGCACGCACGCACGCACGCACGCACGCACGCACGCACACACACACACACACACACACACACACACACACACACACACACACACACACACACATGCACGTATATACAACAGGCCTAGTGTCTAATCGACATGTGCCTAGGGCAAAATGGTAACAAACATGGTGCAGGGACAGTGACCCAGTAGCGACCAGTTAAGAGGCAGGGCCAGATGCGACTCGATCCCCTGCAACCACAACTAGGCGAGTACAACTAGGTGAGCACACATATTGGAGTATGCATCTCCAGTTTAGAACCCCCACCTGGCCGAGCACGTCAGGAAACTAGAGAAAGTGCAGAGGTTTGCAACGAGACTAGTCCCGGAGTTAAGGGCTATGTCCTACGAGGAGAGGTTAAGGGAACTCATCCTGACAACACTGGAGGACAGGAGGGACAGGGAAGACATAATAACGACATATAAAATACTAAGAGGAATCGACAAGGTGGACAGAGACAGGATGTTCCAGAGATGGGACACAGCAACAAGGGGTCACAATTAGAAGTTGAAGACTCAGATGAGCCACAGGGATGTTAGGTATTTCTTCAGCCACAAAATTGTCAGGAAGTGGAATAGTGTGGAAAGTGAGGTAGTGGAGGCAGGTACCCTACATAGCTTTAAGAAGAGGTATGATAAACTCACAGAGGAGGGAGAGAGTGGACCTAGTAGCGACCAGTGAAGAGGCAGGGCCAGGAGATATGAATCGACCCCTGTCACCACAATTAGGTGAGTACTCGCACGTGTGGTACTGGGGAATGAGTGATGGTAGGTGCGCATTGCTATACAATTATGAATGTTTATTTATCATTATGCATGCACATAACAATGGGTGAGTCAGATTGTGTTTAGGAATATGTCTGCGTGTGTCTCCGTTTAATTATCAGTGCACGTGGGTTTTACGCAGTGTTGGTGTCATTGTTATTCTGCATGTGTACATGCATGTTCGTGTGCACCTGCGCTGCAATGAACGTACTGAGCTGCACAGGCACTTTCTATCTAATCCTAATTTCTTTTTAATCTATGTGTGGGCATCTGATTTGTTTTCCTGTAGCCTATTCTCTTTAGTTCAGTTTTGTATACAGTCATGGTGCTGATAACGTCCCTGTTAACTTATCTAGACGTCCTTTATCCTCATACCTTGTAACACGTTCTTTGTTAAAGCTGCCGAAACTCTTTCCTGTGACAAACCTGTGAATGGTCTTATTAGTTCCTCTGTTCCCGCAGTCCTCTTCTTTGATGTTCAAGTCCAACAGCCGCCTGGTGGACCATTGTTGTTTATTAAAATCTTCGTAGAGTTTCTTGTCGTGGTCCTCTGCTCGCCTCTGTCGCATCAGTTCTGTAATGTCAGCAACAACTTCATGAAGGAGTCTGCTCCTCTGGTAGGTTATTTGCATGTATCAGAGAAAATATGACTCTTAGCATTGGTTGTTATTGGACTCTGGTTTTGTGTGCAATCTGGTGCTGCTCTCAACATTAAAGATATATACACAGGGTGCTGAACGAGCTTTTACCGAAACAACGTTTCTGTCTCTGTAGATATTTTGCTCAAAAACTCTACGCAGAGCGAAACGTTGTCTCGATGGAAGCTTGTTCTGCAACTGTTTTTGCCTTCAGACTTTCCACCAATACTACATTTCTCTCACACTTCCTGTCTTTTTTTTGTGTCATGATGGTACTTCTAGTGACAAGCATCTGTACTTTCTGAATCTTACTGGCAGGATCTTTATGTTGGTGCTGTAGACTTTTATGACTGGCCTGACGTACGTCGTATAAAAGTCCAGAATGACACTGATGAGGTACTTAAATGCTGTTCTTAAGTTCGCATATTCCACCGTAGTTATTCAACTGTGTGAGCTTGGCCCTGTACTTACACAGGAAGTTATTCTCCTTGTTTGAGGTTTGCAAACTTTATCCATTAGTGTGTATTCTGTTTCAGATTTTCTTTCCTTCCCCCCCCCCCCGATTTTTTTATGGCATTATACTTATTAGTGGGGTAGACTACCTGCAACTACTTATCTAGCTCTTTCTTTAACCCATTCAAGTTCTGAGTTAGTTCTTGCTTCTTGTGACATGTTGCTAACAGT